ACACACACACACACACCTCTGGGGCCCTTTGCCTGGCACCTGAGCCTCTTTATATAGGCCTCACAGTACATTGAGCTTTTGTAGTAGTGCACTGGAGCACACAGAGGCCATGGCTGCAGCAGCAGCAGCATCTGGGTTGTGAAACGCTTGCCACTCTCTCTACCCCATCCCTCCACCCACAGCTGGGGCTCGCCAAGCTAGGGGGGACCTGTGACAGTCAGAAAGCATGGACGATAAATGATGATAAAACCTTTATGTTGCCAGGGTCGGTCTGGAGCAAATGGCCTTGGGGGAAAAATATGTGAGAGTTTCAGTGGGAGGAGAAAAAGAAGAGGAAAATAAGCATGCTAGCTATCACATTTCGACTATATTAAAACATGTCAAATAAAAAGCTTTTACTGGGTTTAACAGTAGTAGAAAGAAGGCAAACATTTATTTTTTGAGCTTGATAATCCAACTTCCTAGCAATAATAACAGTTCAGAAATGCTGGCAACCAGCACGGTGTTGCATGAGCAGATTACATTGCTTTAACTTCTTAGACATGTTGGAAAGTTTGCTCGCAAAATAATCTAGGCCACAGGCAGTAGTGTTTGTTGGCCAGCTCTGTGAGAACAGTGGGAGGGGGGGGCACACGGCTGCCAGCAGCACAGAGCAGGATTATTGGAGTCTGGACAGAGAGATTTTTGGTGGCTGTCTCGCCATGATTTACATTTGTAACTTTAGCTGTATTGTAGTTTCTGTTTCTGGGAAATGATCATGTAGATTGGCTTGTTTTATAATTAATTCTCAAGAACTCAGAATCTATAAAGTGCTGTGCAGGGAAAATGACAAGAAATAAATCATGGCTGTACGCTCTTAGTTTTGTTCTTTTTTGAGTGTCAACACAGGTTCTCGGGTTGGTTTAGTCGACTGGATGGGTCCATAAATGGCCACAGAAAGCCAACTTGGTCTGCTTTGAGTCCATGTCATCTCTGTGAAAAATCTGGCCTGTGCTGTATCACAAGGAAAGCTCAGGTGTTTTCCATTTGAAGTTACTCATTTTGTGTGCGCGTGTGTGTGTTGTATGACTAACCTCATTAATGCATGGCCACACGCTGTTGAATAACTACATGATGCAATGGGCAAATAACGTGCGGGGGTTTAAGGCAGAGATGGTCAGAGGGAGTGGAGGAGGGCAGAGAGCCGGATTAACTGTTTTGAAAGACACGCTGGGGACATAATATATAATGTTTCATACTGCAATATTTATATACTATTGTACGAAACCAGCAGAGGGCCAGGAAATTGAGCTGTCAGGAATAGACTAATATCAGTATTTATTGTGGAGCAGGAAACATATGTGGAGTCCCAGTTATGCAGAAGAGAGAATAATAATGACATTTGCTGATTAGACTTTGCAGGACATTCACCTTAGGACAAAGTATTTCAGTATATCCAGTTGCTTTAATGTGACTATCTCTCCTCTCACTATCTACATTGTCAGCAGAAAGCCTTGCTGTGCTTATACTGGTGCAACTATTCACAACAATTTCAACAATTATTATTTTTACATCCTAGAAACGTATGTATGAAACGTACAATAAATATTGACATGTTTGCAATAATGGCTTCTCTTTTCTCTTTTCTGATTAAGTGTCTTGCTTATTGTTTCCCAATCTATTGGTGTATGAAGGACAATATATGCACTTCAGAAGGACACTGAAATGCACTGTCACAGTCGCTGTGGTAAGAGCGAAGATATGCAAAAATACTCAAACTTCACACACCAGGGTACTCTCTGTGGTTTATGCTCATTAGAGGAGCTCAAGCCTACATAACTGCAGCTAGAGTTAGAGATGCAGTTCAAGGAGAGAGTTGGAGGTAAGAGTAATGAAGGCATAAATGAATTTAAACAAGCCCACACACACTGTCATCTCTCCACTGCCCTCCGTTCCCCTCGCCAGCTATCTAAGCACACAGTTAATGTTAGTGTAACTCCATGGTCCTGTATTGAACAGCTAGCAATGGACAGTAATAAGCTCAAATCATATGTGTGCACTACATCAACAGATTAAAACAGTGACTGATGGAGACAGCACCTCTGGCCAAAATCAATAGCAGCTTACATACACAGCTGGTTTGAAACTAATAACGAATAATGCTGCATTGATTGCAACACTGAGGTGCAACTATTGAGCTACAGATAAAGGGCTGCAGCAAATAATAGAGTGCATGATTATCTCTGAGTGTGTGGGGGTGGGAGTGGTGTGTGTGTGTGTGTGTGTGTGTGTGCGTGTTTAGGGTGTGGGGGATATTCGTACTCACCCGTAAGTGGTGTTGCTGGCCCTCTTACTCGCTGCCCTGGAGCGGCTGGACTTCAACTCTCCACTCATGCTCATGTCTGCACGGAAAGCAACCAATTAATTTTGTACTGATACCGTAAAGAGCGTCACAACACAGCGGGGGTACAAAGCACATGAAAGAGCACATGAAAGAGAGTTTTGATGAACTAACCTTCTTACCCTGTCCTGTGTCTGGTCATGTGTATCCTACACCCAAGTTTACACTTTTTTTTAGCTAAATTTAACTGCATCTGTTGTGGCCGTCGTCATAGTCATCATTAAACATGATAATGACTAAAGGGCCGGCTAAGGCTGACAGTGGTTCACATGCATCTATCACTCTCTGTTGATTGCTTCTGTCACTCCAAGCCAGCTGTTCACCTCCATTTTTGCCTCCCGTCTGTAAGCGTACGTCAGAAACCTGGTGCAGCTTATAAGAATTGTCTTAAAAGCGAAAACCCCATCTCTGTCTGTCCGTCCTGCAAACACCTCTTACACACACCTCCATGTTCCAATGGGCCAATTAACCACGAGCCATCTTGATTACAGAAAATGCCAACAGCTCACTGCTCGTGTTGGTCGAGGCTCAGCAGTGATTTACCAAAGGTGAGTGTAAAAGAGAGTGAAAAAGTGAAGGAGTAAAAAGAGGAGGAGAGGAGAGGAGGCCAGTCTGACATGGACAGATGGGTGGTGAATGGAGTGTGACTGGGCCAGCTGCACATACACTCACACAGCGTGACTGTCAAATGGCTGGAAGCTACAATTAATTAAGTATGGGTTCGAATGTGTGAAAAGAAATTTAGACACGTGTATGTGCCTTTACCTCCCACAGCAGAGATAATTTTCTGACAGTTTATTGTCAAACAGTGACCTGCTGGATGGCTTCTCTGCAGCCAACAGTGTCTCTGCTGGAGAGGAACTGGGCCCTGCTGCTGAAACATTAACTATTACCTTGCCTGAGCCATGCATGCACACAGGAATATAGACAAAAAATAAATACAAGGATTGTTTTAAATACCTCAAAACCCATTAAAGTGGCAATATCTGGGGGAATAATATTAGCATTTCAAAATACATATGATTGCCCGGAGATCTACATGATAGGCAATGCTTTTTATACGGCAGTGTAGTATTTTCAGGTAACAATAACTACGTCTTCCTCCACTACAATGACAAAAAATTGACACCTCACAAGAATGGATTATGTGTATTAGAAACACATTTGTAAAACTATACTGGACAATTCCTCATCTACACAGACTGCAGCTGAAGTCATTGTATGGCAGAAGGAAAAGAAAATTGAGTTGTATGATTTGCAACATGGCAGCTGTATGATTGACTGCATGAAGGAACCATTACACAGGAAGAGAGTGGAGGTTGCTGCTGAGCACAGTTGTCTCACGCGACAGGAGCAAAACCTCAGGTGGTAATCAGACTGCTATTTGGTAAACAAAATCCTATACAGTACAATTAGCCTCTGCAGTGCAGACACACACACACACA